TGTCACATGACAACTGGGTATGGAAACAAAGGAATAAGAAACAAGAAATTACTTCCTCCAAAAGTAAACAAATCGACTTAGAGTGGGGGTTGTCGCCCTACTCTGTCCTTTTAACAGCACGATGCACGTGCCAAGTTTTGAAGTAGGTGTTGGAACTGCTCCTGTGTGATTGGGTTTTGTGGAGTATGAGAGGTGTTCTCCTGATGGTTGGCCATTGCAAAGTAGAAAACAAAAATGTCTAAGTAAGAGAGGGCGATTTATTTAGGAAATCGATCCCACAAACAATGCCAATTAATGCTGTCAAATCTAGAGACGAGGGAAGAATCATCACTTCCAAGGTGAAGCTGAGGGTCCCACCTGCAAATAGTTAAAAGACATTAGATCCCCTGGGATGTGGTTCCAAGGGTGAGGACTCCAATAGTCAAGTTAGTTCAGGGCTCGAGGAGGCCATGGTCTTAATAAAGCAACAACAATTGAGAGTGCAAGAGTTTGTAAGAAAGATACATGTGGCCATGGGGTCCATTATATAGTTGGTGTTGCTGGGGATCACCATGGTGTGCACTGTGTAATGGCTTTACATGTTAGGTTCCTTAATCATGGGAGTCAATTGGGGTGTGATCCATACGACCGAGTATATCCTACCATAAATGTGTTGGAGAGAGCTCGACCAATACTGCAACTTCCGCAATAAAGGCTTCCACATTTATGAGGAATGCAAAGGATGATGGTGTCCTCAGGCATCGTCAAGATGATGAGAATACCCTTGGGGCATGCCATGTGTCATCCACTAGTGGATAAGTCAATATTACCCGTATCACATGTATACCAAGAAAAGTGGCTAAGAACGTTGAGAAGCAAAATAAGCAACAAATGACTTTGAATTTACAACTAGTGGATTCAAATGTTGGTGTGGGTATTGTGGGTCCTCTCTTAGATCCTAGTGTTGTTGCTAGTAAGTATGATCATTCCAAAATGAGGGAAGTTGCTGCTCTTTGGGTGCTTATGCATGAGCACTCATTTACTATAATGGAAGAGGAAGGTTTTAATTTCATTATGAAGATGTGTACTCCTTTTGAGAAAATCTTTCAGAAGACAATGAAGAATGATTTGCATAGTTGTGTATGAAGACCAAAGAAGAAGTTGAAGAATCTTTTAAAGGGTATTTCCAAAATTAGCATAGTCATTGACCTTTAGAAGTCACAAAGCCAAAAGATAAAGTATATGGTGATAACTGGTTAGTTTGTAGATGCCTATTGGAGGTTACAAAAGCATGTTCTCAACTTTGTCCACGTTTCTCTACCTTGTCGTAGGGCTAATATTACAAGTGCAATTTACAAGGGTTTGAAGGAGTGAGGAACGAAACTATGATTACTTGCCAACTCCTGAATATTGGGAACATGTGGAGAAAGTGTGTAATTACTAACATTATTTCTGGTAGTAACTACCCTATTTGTAATTTGTACCTTTGTGAGATCTATTGGGTGAAGAAAATTTTGAATGAAGTCAATGAATGAAATCATTTTCATTCATTGAATGGTTGGGAAGGTGAAGGAGAAATTTGATAAGTATAGGGTGAATGTAATCTATTAATGGCAATAGTTTTTGTCTTGGATCAAAGGTGCAAATTAAGGCTGGTTGAGATGTGTTTTCTAGAAATATATCCAAAAGATGAAACTAAAAAGAACATTGAGTAGGTTCAAGGTGATTTGTACCAACTTTATGATGAGTATGTGGCTGATTATAATGCTTATAGTAGTGAGCAATCCTCCACTAAAGGGAATGGTAGTCACAAATCTTTCGTAAGTTCTAGTTCCATTTCTAAATCATCAAGTTTAGAATGATCAAAATTGATTAGTTATGTGAAGAGAATTGAGATTATTCCCTCACCAAAATCAGAGTTAGATATATATCTTGAGGAGGGTGTATATATTTGTGATGAAGAAAGGTCACATTATGAGTTTAATAGTTTGGAATGGTAAACGGCTAATAATTTGAAATATCGCATGCTGTCAAAGATGTTAGTTGAGATTCTTGCCATTCTAATATCCATAATAGCTTTAAAAGCTACATTTAGTGATGGTGGTAGGGTAATTGATCATTATCATGCATCTTTGACTCCATAGATTGTTCAAGCTTTGATTTGTAAAAGGGATTGGATTTGTATCCTTCATGGGGTGAAGAAAAAACAAAATGTATACTACATTTAATTTTTGTTTATTATTTTTTAGTGGTACTTCATTTATACTTTGATTTATTCATCACTAATTTAATTTTTTTCCTTTTGTAGGTAGACAAAAAACAAATTGAGATAATTCTACCCATTTCCGAGTAGTGACTTGCAAGTTTTAAAGTTGGAAGTGTGCATATAGGTACCCCTTTTTTCATGGAAATGCTGCATATATATATATATATATATTAACAAATCGATGGGGGTGATCTGAATTCAATCTGATTTTTCATCACATCCTCTTATCTGATCTGACAATCCGAAATAGGGATATTTGAATATGACAAAATAGGATCTGACTTCAAATTGGGTCATATCAAATAGTATTGAAACTGCAGGCCCACCATTGACTTCACATTTTCTTTGTAAATAGAAAAGACTATCCTAATACCGTTTTTGTTTCTCTCTTTGATTGACTTACAGAAGGGAAGATAGAGTTGGGAGTAGTAGAGGATTTTTTGTCTGCTAAAGGTAGTTGGGTGTTTTGCAGGGACTAAGAGAAGCTAAATTTGGAGCTGTAGAGGAAGCCTTACTTTTGCTATTCAAAAGGAATGAAAGTAGTGATTTTTTTTTCCAAATGCAAAGAATGTTTTGGAAGCTATCCAAGGGAAAGAGGATTTGGTGCTTTGGTCTTTAATGATTATGTGGATAAAATTTGATAGCCATCTAATATTGTTTGTCTCTTTATTTATAAACAAGAACTTTTATTAAGCCAACTCAACAAATAGCACATAAAGTTAAATCTTTGGAAGGGGATTCTTTTGTGTGGATTGACCCCGTGGTTGGATAGACTTATCTGTGATTCTTTTGAAATTAGGGGGATGTAAATGGATTGGATTGGATTTGAATTAGGGTATATATGAATCTGATCTAATAAATTGTAGGTCCGATCCAATTCGTTCCAAAGATCCAATCGGATCTTACGAACACTTATTTGAATTCTAATCAGATAAGGGTGTCAGATATCCGAATATGATTCAATCTAATTTAATTTAAAAGAATTAATAAATTATTAATAGGATAAAATTTTAAATAAAAAAATACAAGTATATTTTCAACTATTTTCATTAATATAGCAAATTTACAAAATATGCAATATAAATGACATATTTATAAATAAATATATAACATGTATATGTTATATATATATATATATATATATATTAACAAATTGGATAGGGGTGATCTGAATTCAATCCGATTTTTCATTGAATCCTCTTATCTGATCTGAAAATCCGAAATAGGGATATTTGAATATGACAAAATAGGATCTGACTTCAAATTGGGTCGGACCAAATAGTGCTGAAACTGCAGACCCACCATTGACTTCGCATTTTCTTTGTAAATAGAAAAGACTATCCTAATCCCGTTTTTGTTTCTCTCTTTGATTGACATGCAGAAGGGAAGATAGAGTTGGGAGCAGTAGAGGGTTTTTTGTTTGCTAAAGGTAGTTGGGTGTTTTGCAGGGACTAGTAGAAGCTAAGTTTGGAGCTGTAGAGTAAGCCTTACTTTTGCTATTCAAAAGGAATGAAAGTAGTGATTTTTTTTTTTTTCCAGATGCAAAGAATGCTTTGGAAGCTATCCAAGGGAAGAGGATTTGGTGCATTGGTCTTTAATGATTATGTAGATAAATTTGGCCAGCCATCTAATATTGTTTGTCTCTTTATTTATAAACGAGAACTTTTATTTAGCCAATCCAACAAATAGCACATAAAGTTAAATATTTGGAAGGGGATTCTTTTGTTTGGATTGATCCCCGTGGTTGGATAGACTTATCTGTGATTCTTTGTGCAACTAGTTTTTTGTTTTAATGTTAGTTTCAAGAATAAAAAAAAGTTACGATCCCATGCTTATTTTCTTTACCAACATTTGGGATTTATTACAATGCTTCAACCATCTTTTAATTTTAACCTAAACAAATTTGCAGGACTTATATATATGCATGTTTGTTTGAAGGAGATAATGTGTTGGGTATACATGATTTATGTATTTAAACTTAGAGTAGCTAACTATGATAGTGGATTTAGATTTGTAAGGAATTTTTAAGGTTTTTGATGGTCCCAGGTCAAGGATTAATGACAGCGAAGTTAATTGTTAAACAAGCAGAGCAATTGAGCAAGTATTTGGAGCTCATATTCGAGCTTGAGTAGGCTCGGTTCATTATCGAGCTCGAGCCAAACTTAGTTCAAATATAAGAGATTTTGACTCGAGTTGAATTCAAACCAATATTTCTAGTTCGAATCGAGTTCGAGCTTTATAATTTTTTGTTGAATTGAGATCGAATAACCAAATATTTAGTTCAATTCGACTTGAATCCACTTCTAACTTAGGGTTAGGGATAGGCTCACTTCAAGACCTGAACTTTCAAATGTACCATTTTAGTGCCCAAAGTATAAGAAGTATACATTTAAGTTCAACTTTATGAAAATAACGTATCAGTAAAATTATTAAAGTGCCTATGTGCTGATTATCTCTCTCTTCTCTCTCTATATATATTATGTCCATCTTTCTTCTCCTTTGGGCTTCGGATGCAAATCAGTAGTAGCAAAGTATATTACTGGTTTGTATCCAAAGTCCAAGGTTGAAGAAGATTGATAGTAAAATGAGAATCAGAACATGGGTAGTTTTGTAATTTACTCACATGGTAATGTCAATTTATTGGAATTGGACTCAAATATATTTATTGAAATTCAGATTCTAAGATGACAAAAGGTAAAGACCATAAAGTGAGAGTATACAAGGTACAGGGTGAGGGTACATGTATGCAATTTACCCATAAAGAACTGTCTATGTAGCGTTGCTTCATATAACTGTTTCTTTCTTTTTTTTTTTTCCTCTGTTTTTTTGGTCTCCAAGTCTATTTAAATTCACTCGTTACCGTTACAAAAATAAAATTAATCTCTGTGTGATAAAATCCAGATAGAGTTGGAGAGTGCCGCTTTAGTTATGCGGCTTTCTTAAACTTTCAAAACCTCCGGTAATGGCGGTAGCATTCCCTCTAGCTCTTCTTCCTTCATCACAGCTCTCTCGTTGCCAACGCGTTCGCTTTGTTTCATTCAGTTTTCCAGCAATTTCATCCATTAATGGAGTTTCAACAAGAAGACCAGTTCCCATTATTTCTGCTAAGGCCGTTCTACTCCACACGAGGGAAGGGCATGAGACCGTCAACATTGCTGAAGACGTAACCCAGGTTCTATATTCATCTTTGCGAACTACTGAAGCAAGAACTTTCATTCCTTTTTGCTTTTCCATTTATTATAAGTACGGTTGAATGGGATAACCTCTTTATTTCTTCTACTTTTTGTTCAGCTAATCGTCTTTTTTTTTTTCATTATTTATGTCTCCTTAGTTCTTTTTTCCTTCATTTCTCTTTCGTTGTCTCTCTTTGAACCTTATGAGCTTTTTGTGTTCCTTGGTGAAATGTTCATTTTAATCTTTGGAATTGTAAGATGGGTTGCTGAAAAAACATGCTGTTTTAAAGGAGGAGGTAACGGATTTTTTCATTTGAGTTAAAGATACCCTTGTTTGGTTTAGTAATTTTTTATTTGGGCAACAAATCTTTTCGGCTGTCTTGTCAAAGATAAAAATAATCGTTGGAATTCCTTTGTCTAACTTAGAGACATTTTGGGTGGATTATCTGTAGTAACATTCTATCTTACCAAAAAAAAATCTGTAGTAACATTCTAAATGAAACCTAAAGATCTTTTGGAAAACCTAGAGAAATCAATAATTGCATAAGATTTAATATCTTCTCAACTTTAGCCGTAGAGTAGATCAAGTTGCAGTGTCTGAAGTGCTTGGTGACAATATCTTCTCAACTTTGGGGCTGTTTAAGAAGTTAGCTTCTTTAAGATGCAGTTGCAAAGCTTGGTCTCAATTGAGCTTGCAAATCAGTTGTCAGCTGATTATCTCTAGGACTGAAATCCTGAGGGCTTTTACATGTTTAGCTGTTGGAAGGAAGTACACAAGCAAGATATATCATAGCCCAAATGAATGTAAGGATTAGATGGATTCCTAGGGGTTTAAGTTTTGTGGCTGCTGATCTAGATAATTCAGTGGTTCATAGGGAATCTTTGTTTAGTGACTGCATGTTACCCTTGTAATTTATTAGGAGAGTCTTTGTCTGCATCTGTACACCTTCTCATGTACCTTGTGCTTCTTCTATAATGAAATTGTTAATTTCTTAAAAAAAAAGGGAAGTACACAATTTTAAATTGAACCATACCTATTTTTTCATGGTATTATAGAAGAGCCAATGTATGAAATTAGTTAAGTCATAACTCATAACTTATTATAGGATTTCTTTGACCATTTCAAGAAAAATTATAATAAAATATATCTTCCATTATATTGGGCATGCCAATCAAACCTCTACTAAACTAAAAGCAACTGAATTTAATGTGAAGAATTCTACACTAAGAAGCCAATAATTTCAGAATAAGGTTGTATCATTGGAATTTAAAAGTTTGAATATGGATGTCAGGAGAGAGTGAAACTCTCTTTTATTATAGGTTATGATTAGAAGAAATGAAGTACAAGGATGGAAAAATGAAAAAAATAGGGATATTATTGGAATTTAAAAGTTTGAACATGAACAAAAGGGGAGATTGAAACTCTCTCTTTTATTATAGGTTACATGAAACAAGCAATGATTGGATAGCTTACTGATTCCACCATTTTTGATAGAAGATACATTTGAAGAGTCTTATGGTTCCTTTGGAGCTAAGTCCATCAAGTGTTTGGAGTTGATATTATTAGAGTTTATAATGTACATTAATCCATTTGATCATGTACATTTAGTTCTGGTGAAAATATGACAATTTATAACTTTTTTCTTACAAGAGTTTTGTGAAAAATCAGAAAAAGTAATTTTCTCATGAGATATATAGCTTCTTGGGAGAAAGCTAGACCCACAAACTCTGATTCCACCATTTTTGATAGAAGATACACTTAAAGGGTCTTATGGTTCCTTTGGAGCTAAGTCCATCCTGTGTTTGAAATTGATACATTAGAATTTATAATGTACATTAGTCCATTTGATCATGTATATTTAGTTCTAGTGAGAATATGACACTTTATAACTTTTTTCTTACAAGAATTTTGTGAAAACTTAGAAAAGTAATTTTCTCATGAAATATATAACTTGTTGGGAGAAAGTTAGACCCACAAACCCTGATAGACATTCTTTGTTGTCGTTGTTTAAAATATGTCCTGAAAAGTACAAATATCTTAAATTCTTGTTGTGTTGGACGAGACCCATAAAGTGTAGTAGGTTTTGGTCATTTGTTTTCTGTTTTTCCATCCATTTGTTTTTGATAGTGGTTGTCTAAGATAATTCCGAGTACAGTTTTACAGTTGATAGTATCAAAAAGCTTCAGAACTTTACCTCATTTTTAGCAGTTGGGAATTTTATTATAGCTGATTGGGAGGACACCAATGATATATCTTAACAAAGTTGTGAAAGGTTGTGTGGCAAATGTTGCTGCAAAGCTTGAGTCTATGGAACCCTGTCGGAGTGTCAAGGACAGGTAAATCTCATTATTGGAATCAACATTGTTCTTTGTCAATGTTCAAGACTTCATAGTCTTATTCCATTTAATAAATGCTTGGTGGCTATTATCTACTCAATATTTGCATAGGCATTAATTCAATTAATAACCATCAGAGAATCTGTTGGATGGACCAGAGGTGATAAAACGCTTCAATGGTCCTAATCATCTGGGCAGTTGCTCTTTTTGGGTTACACTAAAATTATGAGCCATCTAGTAGATGCTTAGAATCACCTAAATGGTATGATTCTGGAATGATTTGACCAAACAATTAAAATGGTTCAGATTGATGGCTCTTATATCCAGTGGATAAGTAATATCTAGCTGTATTAATACTAAGTATTTTAATTTTTCCATATAATTTGTTTTAGTGGCACTTGTATTTTATGACACCTGGGTGCTTGGATGTGGTCATTATATCATGTTGGACCTTCATTCATCATGCCCAGCCAACAGTGTCCACCAGCTGACACGGTCCAAGCTTGATGCCCTGTCATTGCAAATCATAGTTATTTCCATCACAGTAGTTGAGTGTAGTAGTACTTTATGTTGTAAGATCCTTGCATCATTTATTGTGTTTGTTAATGCTTGTGGGTTGTAATTAAGTTTTTTTTTTTTTGAACTGGTTACATCTCAGAATCGGGTTTAGTATGATATCTTGTGCTGAGGAAAGTGGAACCATTCGTCCTGGGAAGGTTCATTATGTTATGCTCTAACTTCCTGCTCTTTGAACTTTTTTATATCATTATCCATATATGTATATTACCTTTTTGTGTGCTTATGCAGAGTATTTTGGTGGAGCCAACTAGTGGAAATACTGGACTTGGTATTGCGTTTGTTGCTGCAACTAAGGGTTACAAACTTATTGTTACTATGCCTGCATCCATAAACGTAGAGAGGCGGGTCCTTCTTCGTGCATTTGGAGCAGACATTGTTTTGACGGATCCATCAAAAGGACTAAAAGGTGCTGTTGATAAAGCTGAAGAAATTGTTCGAAGGACACCAAATGCATATATGTTTCAACAGTTTGACAATCCGGCTAATACAAAGGTAATTTCTCATTTATCCTTGGACTTCATGAAACATTTCTATTTTTGATGTAAATATATATAACCTATATTTCCCTGTAGTGATTCACTTGGATGTATTACAGATACACTTTGAAACAACAGGCCCAGAAATATGGGAGGATACCATGGGAAGTGTTGACATAATTGTTGCAGGAATTGGAACTGGAGGTACTGTAACAGGAACAGGACGATACCTAAAGATGATGAACAAGGATATTAAGGTTAGAGTAAGATCTTATGGAACTTTACATCAATCTTAAATATCTTGAAATGTTTAAACTTACTCAGAACAAATAGAACTCTAATCTGAATTCAATTCAACTCTGCCTTAATCCCAAATAAAACTCTAATATAAAAGGTTCAAAAGCCTATTAATTGAGAATCCCATTATAGACCCATTGGTTGTACATAAAATGGTCACAACTCTCTTGAATCATGCTGGGTTTGAGAGATCTTGGTATCCTTAGTTGGCTAACTGAAAGGCTCATTAGATGGCACTAAAATCATGCCTAGGGGATAAGTTTCCCCACTCTGCAATTTTTCCCTAATGAATTGCTTATCCACTTTGATGTATTTAGTCCTATATGTGGATGATGTTGTTATCACAGGTGTTGAGGGTATCACTTCGCTAAGACCATTATTTAAATATTTTTATCTGAAAAAGGGGTAATTCATCGGAGTTTGTGTGCATGCACCCCTCAACAAGGTGTTGTAATTGGGTGATGGCTTGTTACCCATTGGTTGTATTTTTTGTATCCATATCTTGGGTCTTTATCATAGTAAGCTTGATCATAAGGCTGTGAGTTGTAACACAATTTTCTAATCTCTTATTGCTTCACCAATGCCCAGATTTTTTCTCTTTGAATTCAGCTTATTCATTTTTTTTATTTGCTTGTTCATTTCTTGTGTGTTTCTTTCTCCCTAGGTGGTAGGAGTAGAACCTTCTGAGAGTAGCATTATCTCTGGAGAAAATACAGGTGGAAAATTCTACCTTTTAACAACCTTTGGTAGCTTAATTTCCTATTACATCATTGCTAAAAATGTATGATACTACAGGTTACATACCAAGCATTTTGGATGTCAAATTACTTGATGAGGTTTTAAAGGTAAAAGAAGTTTTTTTTTCTTTTTTTTTTTTAATTTTCCATATTCACTTTGCTCTTTTCTTTTATATATTTAAAAATGGTAAGCTCTTCAAACAGATTAAGCATCTTGTTCTTATTTGTATTGTTATGATGAGAAAAATTTTGTTTCTTGGTGGATGAGTGAGGGTATGTCTCATTTAGGATGCAAAATGATTCATTTTTCTCAAAATGTAACACATTTCGGCTTTTGTTGAAATATTAGTACAATTAGGCACAAGGGTATTTATGTACTTTTCTCTTATTATGTGTCACCCTATTTTGTAATAAAAGAAGTGGGTGCCGCCAGGCCTGTATTTCTTCCACCATTCGAATCTCTCCTTCCCTTCTCTTATTCTTTCTTTCTTCTTTCCGTTGTAGGCAAGGTTCAAAATATCGATACCAGCATATCGGCCTGTATCAGTACTATTTTTTATGTGTTTTTTTATTTTTTTCCAAAACTAGTTCAGAGGGGCCGGTTTAAGGTCGGTCTACTCTCTGAACCACTTGCCAACCCGAAACACCCCCTGTAGGGGCGTATCGGGAAGGCTCCGATATGATACATATCGGCCGATACGTGACGAATCTTTGATCCTTGGTTGTAGGTCAGAATCCATGTTTTACATGGTATTAGAACAGGGGGAGTGATCGATCAAGCTGTTTTTTCTTCTTCTTCTTCCTTTTTTCCTGAACATCCCTTTTTTTTTGACATGTAACTGGAAAAGAGGATTGAAACGATCTGAAAATAACTCTCTTCTTTTCCTTTTCTCTTCTCCTTGGTTGTAGCACCAAGTGAACTTATTTTTGGTGACAGAACATTAGTGATGAAGGAATACTATCTTTTTTTTTTTTTTGATGGATCAAGGATAAGGATCTGTTAAGTATTTGTTAGTGCTGTTTTTGGATCGTATGGTCTGAGTTTCTTCCTGGGTGTTTACCTAGTGCTGTTTGGTGGTCTGTTTGCAATGTTTATGGGTGGAAATGAATGGTAAATGCTGTTTATGTGTTTCTGGACATGTTTTCTCGACCACCAAGGTCATGGGTTCAGATCTGGGAGTGTTTTTCAGTTCTGTACTGTAGGTGTAAACCTTCCTTTTATATCAAGGAGACAGCCAACTGGTGGTAATAGCTGTCTTCCTGGGTTGGTTTTGTGGTTGGACTGCAAGTGTTTGCTTTGTTCTAAGTTCTAACTGAGGTTTTAGGTCATAAAGGTGATAGAATTGTTTATCAGAAGTGTGTGGGTAATTTTTGGTGTGTTTCAGCTGGAAAAATGGACTCTTTTTGTGAGATAGTTGATTGTTATCATGGATAAAGAAGATTCAGCAGTTTTAGGCATCACATCTTGGTTTACAATATTTAGTACCAACGTGGACAGCACTAACTTCCTAACCTCAATTGCTATTCTTGATGGAGCTAACTATCTAGAGTGGTACAAGGGGGTAAAGATGCATGTTGGGGGGAGAGGGAAGTTAGGCTATTTGGAAGGAGACATTGTGGAACCTAAGGAGAAAGGTTCGACATATGCCAAATTGGTTTCGGAGAATTATTTGATTATGTCTTGTCTCCTACCCAAATTTCAACTGTTGTTGAGGAAAGCTTTTATGTGGGCAGACATGGACAAGGAGATTTGGGATCAGGCTAAGGCAACCTATTCTGAGCAAATGAACCATGCTCAGGTTTATTAGGTGTTGGCTGAATCTACTATGTGTAAACAAGGTGATAGGAGTTTATTTGCTTATTTGTCTGATCTAACATCAGTTTGGAAGGACCTAGATCAGCATCAGCTGATTGATTGGGAAAGTGATAAGGATGCAAATGCCTATAAGGCACTGGTAAGCAAGCAGAGAGTGTTTGCTTTCCTTGGCCTCTATCCTTCATATGAACCTATCCTTGTTCAGATTTTGGGATGTAAGGATCTACCCTTTATACAGGAGGTGTACTTTCTCATTTAGTCAGAAGAAAGTAGGAAGTTAGCTATGAATAGGGGAGCAGATTGCTC